GACTGAGTAACAGATGAGTACCTACAGGACCATCAGAAAGTGAAAAAATCGTTCTGTTTTTACAGTTTCTGGCCGTGATAAACTGTGATTTATGCATTAAAAAAATAAAAAATAACAAGCCTTTCAAACCCACCAGTAGGTTTTGGGATTCAGATGGTTGAATTAATTTCTGTCCTGAAAAATCAGATTGAAAAGTCAATATCTATCTATCTATCTATCTATCTATCTATCTATCTATCTATCTATCTATCTATCTATCTATCTATCCATCTATCCATCCATCTATCTATCTATCTATCTATCTATCCATCTATCCATCCATCCATCCATCCATCCATCCATCCATCCATCCATCCATCCATCCATCCATCCATCCATCCATCCATCCATCCATCCATCAGTGATTAGCAGCACTATATAATAAAGTCTAAAAACTGCTGAAACTAGTCATGCATTATTCAAATTTACTCCCTTTTCGTCCTCCTGAGCTTTGAAAATGATTTTCGACACCAGCTCACCATCTAACCTGTCGCCCCTCACAGCTGGAGGAGTCCAATCGCACCCTGACGGTGGACGTCGGCAACCTGGCCAGCGAGAAGGAGGAGCTCAACAACCAGCTGAAAGAAATGCAGCAACGTGAGTGTCGTTTCCAGTTAATGAGCCCCAGACTGAACAGACTTCCAATTTCCCCCCGCGTCCTGGAAACCTGTTATAAAGCCGTCTCGATGATTTATGAGGAGAAAGCTGCGAAAATGTCATGAAAAGCAGGAACTGATGTCCTCATCATGGAGTGTGTGTGCAGAGGGGCAGAGTATTGGTCTTTGCCTTGTAAACTGTGGATATTGTGTGTGTATATTAGCCCTGATTAATATTCATCTGCAACGTCTTCACAGAGCTCCAGAAAGCCAAGGAGGAGGAGAAGAAGATGAACTCTCTGAAACTGTCCTTTGAGAAGCAGCTGCAGAATGAAAGGACACTAAAAATTCAGGTGTGTGTCTGGGCGCCTACACAGGTCTGGAAAGCCTGAAATACCTCCTATACTTTGATACCTGTGTTGTTGTTTTTTTTCTTCTCGCTGACATCTCTTATATCACATCAATTGTTGATAAGAATAATTTTCTGCTACAGGCTTGTTGTGAACTCTGGGCAAAATCACCGAGATCTGAAACAAGTTTTAAAAAATCTTCTCCGGCAGCAACGTTGACATTCCTGCAGGCTTCACATTTGTCATAAATAGAACTTTGCTGCTGTTTTATTGTTTATTTTTTGCTCTCAGGCTGTAAACAAGCTGGCGGAGGTGATGAACAGGAGGGAGACGGTGCGGGGAGGCCACCGGAGCATCGACACCGAGGTGCACAGAAAGGAGAAGGAGAACCGGAAGCTGCAGCTGGAGCTGAGAGCCGAGAAGGAGAAGCTCAACAGCACCATCATCAAATACCAGAAGGAGCTGACGGAGATGCAGGCGGTCAGTACGCCCACGCTGCCGCCGAAAAGCACACCGACTACACACAGATAGTCCAACTTTTCTCTTTTTTAGAACTGCTGGAGTTGAGCCAAAGTGCTGGACAGTTGAATAGCAGGACATAGAATGCATTAAAGCACAAAAAAGACAAATCTGAATAAAAGTAAGAAGGAATAACAGATACGACACGATGAGAGATGGGTGGCAGTCAAAGCAGATTTCACACATAAAAGTAAAATGTTCCAGCTGTTAGGAACGGCCGCCGCAAAGCCTCCATCGCATCTATTTACAGTTGAATAAAAATGTAAGAGTTCTGCTAAGTAAAGCATTTAAAACCTCAACAACAAACGATAAAATCCACCCAGAAACCAGCGCTGGAGTCGGGCGATCACGCTTTCTTCTACCTGCTAACAGACCAGCAGCTGCGTTTTGTACCAGCAGCTCTACGCCCACGTACAAACAATCACAACAGTCTGAGAGCGCGTTGATAAAGGGCTTGACCGGAAAACATCTGTGCTTCGGTGAGAAAACTCAGAAAAGCTGGATGCATTCTTTTTTTTACCACTTAAAATCTTAACAATGAAGCAGGATGTAGGCGGAGATGCTGACAAGTGGGCTTTAAAGCACTGTGTTTGCTCCGAATTAATAAGTTTGTTAATCAATAGTCTGAGCCAGAGAGTCATAAATTAGTTTTCCAGGACGTGAGCTTACAGTTAGAGATGCTCCACGGATGCGTAGGAGGAAGAATCCTCTTGGTTGAGCTGCAGAGGTGAAAAAAGAGTGTTAAGATTGTGTCTTTAATTATTGCCAAGGCAGGGCTCGGTGGTTAGCACCGTGGCCTCACAGCTAGAAGGTCGCCGGTTCACGTCCCGGTGAGGA